ACTGGGAGGCCCATTTGCTCCAGAAGGCGGTGCTGGACGAGGAGGTGGTGGATTTCAAGAAGATGGTGTTCGAATGGGAGGCCCAGCTGCTCCAGAGGGTGGTGCTGCACGAGGATGCGGTGGTTTTCAAGAAGACGGTGTTCGTATGGGAGGCCCACCTGCTCCAGAGGGCGGTGCTAGACGAGGAGGTGGTGGATTTCAAGAAGATGCTGTTCGAATGGGAGGCCCAGCTGCTCCAGAGGGTGGTGCTGCACGAGGATGCGGTGGTTTTCAAGAAGACGGTGTTCGTATGGGAGGCCCACCTGCTCCAGAGGGCGGTGCTAGACGAAAAGGCGGTGGCTTTCAAGAAGACGGTGTTCGACTGGGAGGCCCAGCAGCTCCAGAAGGCGCTGCTGGACGAGGAGGCGATGGAGTTCAAGAGGACGGTTGTCGACTGATAATCCCAGCTGCTCCACAAGGCGGTGCTCGACGAGGATGCGGTGGCTTTCAAGAAGACGGTGTTCGTATGGGAGGCCCACCTGCTCAAGAGGCCTATGCTAGACAAAAGGGAGGTGGGTTTCGAGAAGACGGTGTTCGACTGGGAGGCCCATTTGCTCCAGAAGGCGGTGCTGGACGAGGAGGTGGTGGATTTCAAGAAGATGGTGTTCGAATGGGAGGCCCAGCTGCTCCAGAGGGTGGTGCTAGACGAAAGGGAGGTGCCTTCAAGAAGACGGTGTTCGACTGGGAGGCCCAGCTGCTTCAGAGGGCGGTGCTAGACGAAAAGGTGGTGGCTTTCAAGAAAACGGTGTTCGAATGGGAGGCCCAGCTGCTCCAGAGGGCGGTGCTGCACGAGGATGCGGTGGCTTTCAAGGAGACGGTGTTCGTATGGGAGGCCCACCTGCTCCAGAGGGCGGTGCTAGACGAAAAGGCGGTGGCTTTCAAGAAGACGGTGTTCGACTGGGAGGCCCAGCTGCTCCAGAAGGCGCTGCTGGACGAGGAGGCGATGGAGTTCAAGAGGACGGTTGTCGACTGATAATCCCAGCTGCTCCACAAGGCGGTGCTCGACGAGGATGCGGTGGCTTTCAAGAAGACGGTGTTCGTATGGGAGGCCCACCTGCTCCAGAGGCCTATGCTAGACAAAATTAGGTGGCTTTCGAGAAGACGGTGTTCGACTGGGAGGCCCATTTGCTCCAGAAGGCGGTGCTGGACGAGGAGCTGGTGGATTTCAAGAAGATGGTGTTCGAATGGGAGGCCCAGCTGCTCCAGAGGGTGGTGCTAGACGAAAGGGAGGTGCCTTCAAGAAGACGGTGTTCGACTGGGAGGCCCAGCTGCTTCAGAGGGCGGTGCTAGACGAAAAGGTCGTGGCTTTCAAGAAAACGGTGTTCGAATGGGAGGCCCAGCTGCTCCAGAGGGCGGTGCTGCACGAGGATGCGGTGGCTTTCAAGAAGACGGTGTTCATATGGGAGGCCCACCTGCTCCAGAGGGCGGTTCTAGACGAAAAGGCGGTGGCTTTCAAGAAGACGGTGTTCGACTGGGAGGCCCAGCTGCTCCAGAGGGTGGTGCTAGACGAAAGGGAGGTGCCTTCCAGAAGACGGTGTTCGACTGGGAGGCCCAGCACTCCAGAGGCCTATGCTAGACAAAAGGGAGGTGGCTTTCGAGAAGACGGTGTTCGACTGGGAGGCCCATTTGCTCCAGAAGGCGGTGCTGGACGAGGAGGTGGTGGATTTCAAGAAGACGCTGTTCGAATGGGAGGCCCAGCTGCTCCAGAGGGTGGTGCTAGACGACAGGCGGTGGTTTTCAAGAAGACGGTGTTCGACTGGGAGGCCCAGCTGCTCCAGAAGGTAGTGCTGGACGAGGAGGCGATGGAGTTCAAGAGGACGGTTGTCGACTGATAATCCCAGCTGCTCCACAAGGCGGTGCTCGACGAAAAGGCGGTGGCTTTCAAGAAGAAGGTGTTCGACTGGGAGGCCCAGCTGCTCCAGAGACCCATGCTAGACAAAAGGGAGGTGGCTTTCGAGAAGACGGTGTTCGACTGGGAGGCCCATTTGCTCCAGAAGGCGGTGCTGGACGAGGAGGTGGTGGATTTCAAGAAGATGGTGTTCGAATGGGAGGCCCAGCTGCTCCAGAGGGTGGTGCTAGACGAAAGGGAGGTGCCTTCAAGAAGACGGTGTTCGACTGGGAGGCCCAGCTGCTTCAGAGGGCGGTGGTAGACGAAAATGTGGTGGCTTTCAAGAAAACGGTGTTCGAATGGGAGGCCCAGCTGCTCCAGAGGGCGGTGCTGCACGAGGATGCGGTGGCTATCAAGAAGACGGTGTTCGTATGGGAGGCCCACCTGCTCCAGAGGGCGGTGCTAGACGAAAAGGCGGTGGCTTTCAAGAAGACGGTGTTCGACTGGGAGGCCCAGCTGCTCCAGAAGGCGCTGCTGGACGAGGAGGCGATGGAGTTCAAGAGGACGGTTGTCGACTGATAATCCCAGCTGCTCCACAAGGCGGTGCTCGACGAGGATGCGGTGGCTTTCAAGAAGACGGTGTTCGTATGGGAACCCCACCTGCTCCAGAGGGCGGTGCTAGACGAAAAGGCGGTGGCTTTCAAGAAGAAGGTGTTCGACTGGGAGGCCCAGCTGCTCCAGAGGCCAATGCTAGACAAAAGGGAGGTGGCTTTCGAGAAGACGGTGTTCGACTGGGATTGCCCATTTGCTCCAGAAGGCGGTGCTGGACCAGGAAGTGGTGGATTTCAAGAAGATGGTGTTCGACTTAGAGGCCCAGCTGCTCCAGAGGGTGGTGCTAGACGAGTGGGCGGTGGTTTTCAAGAAGACGGTGTTCGATTGGGAGGGCCAGCTGCTCCAGAAAGCGGTGCTGGACGAGGATGGGGTGGCTTTCTAGTAGACGGTGTTCGACTGGGAGGACCAGCTGCTCCAGAAGCCTATGCTAGACGAAATAGAGGTGGGTTTCAAGAAGACGGTGTTCGACTGGGATGCCCAGCTGCTCCAGAAGGCGGTACTGGACGAGGAGGCGGTGGCTTTCAAGAGGACGGTGTTTGACTGAGAATCCCAGCTGCTCCAGAAAGCGGTGATGGATGTGGATGCGGTGGCTTTCAAGAAGACGGTGTTCGTATGGGAGGCCCACCTGCTCCAGAGGGCGGTGCTAGACGAAAAGGCGGTGGCTTTCAAGAAGAAGGTGTTCGACTGGGAGGCCCAGCTGCTCCAGAGGCCTATGCTAGACGAAAGGGAGGTGGCTTTCGAGAAGATGGTGTTCGACTGGTTTGCCCACCTGCTCCAGAGGGTGGTGCTAGACGAAAAGGCGGTGGGTTTCAAGAAGACGGTGTTCGACTAGGAGGCCCAGCTGCTCCAGAAGGCAGTGCTGGACGAGGATGGGGTGGCTTTCTAGTAGACGGTGTTCGACTGGGAGGACCAGCTGCTCCAGAAGCCTATGCTAGACGAAATAGAGGTGGGTTTCAAGAAGACGGTGTTCGACTGGGATGCCCAGCTGCTCCAGAAGGCGGTACTGGACGAGGAGGCGGTGGCTTTCAAGAAGATGGTGTTCGACTGTGAGGCCCAGCTGCTCCAGAGGGCGGTGCTGGACGAGGAGGCGGTGGATATCAAGAAGACGGTGATCGACTGGAACGACGAGCTGCTCTAGAATGCGGTCCTGGACGAGGATGCGTGGCTTTCAAGAAGACGTTGTTCGTATTGGAGGCCCACCTGCTCCAGAGGGCGGTGCTAGACAAAAAGGCGGTGGCTTTCAAGAAGACGGTGTTCGACTGGGAGGCCCAGCTGCTTCAGAAGGCGCCGCTGGACGAAGAGGCGATGGAGTTCAAGAGGACGGTGGTCTACTGAGAATCCCAGCTGCTCCACAAGGCGGTGCTCGACGAGGATGCGGTGGTTTTCAAGAAGACGGTGTTCGTATGGGAGGCCCAGTTGCTCCAGAGGGCGAAGCTAGACGAAAAGGCGGTGGCTTTCAAGAAGGCGGTGTTCGACTGGGAGGCCCATTTGCTCCACAAGGCGGTGCTCGACGAGGATGCGGTGGTTTTCAAGAAGACGGTGTTCGTATGGGAGGCCCAGTTGCTCCAGAGGGTGGTGCTAGACGAAAAGGCGGTGACTTTCAAAAATACGGTGTTCGACTGGGAGGCCCAGCTGCTCCAGAAGGCAGTGCTGGACGAGGATGGGGAGGCTTTCTAGTAGACGGTGTTCGACTGGGAGGACCAGCTGCTCCAGAAGCCTATGCTAGACGAAATAGAGGTGGGTTTCAAGAAGACGGTGTTCGACTGGGAGGCCCAGCTGCTCCAGAAGGCGGTGCTGGACCAGTGGTGATGGATTTCAAGAAGATGGTGTTCGACTGGGAGGCCCAGTTGCTCCAGAGGGTGGTGCTAGACGAGGGGGCGGTGGTTTTCAAGAAGACGTTGTTCGTATGGGAGGCCCAACTGCTCCAGAGGGTGGTGCTAGACAAAAAAGCGGTGGCTTTCAAGAAGACGGTGTTCGACTGGGAGGCCCAGCTGCTCCAAAAGGCGCTGCTGGACGAGGAGGCGATGGAGTTCAAGAGGACGGTGGTCTACTGAGAATCCCAGCTGCTCCACAAGGCGGTGCTCGACGAGGATGCGGTGGTTTTCAAGAAGACGGTGTTCGTATGGTAGGCCCACCTGCTCCAGAGGGCGAAGCTAGACAAAAGGCGGTGGCTTTCAAGAAGGCGGTGTTCGACTGGGAGGCCCAGCTGCTCCAGAGGCCTATGCTAGACGAAAGGGAGGTGGCTTTCAAGAAGACGGTGTTCGACTGGGAGGCCCATTTGCTCCAGAAGGCGGTGCTGGACGAGTGGTGGTGGATTTCAAGAAGATGGTGTTCGACTGGGAGTCCCAGTTGCTCCAGAGGGTGGTGCTAGACGAGGGGGCGGTGGTTTTCAAGAAGACGGTGTTCATCTGGGAGGCCCACCTGCTCCAGAGGGTGGTGCTAGAAGAAAAGGCGGTGGGTTTCAAGAAGACGGTGTTCGACTGGGAGGCCCAGCTGCTCCAGAAGGCAGTGCTGGACGAGAATGGGTGGCTTTCTAGAAGACGGTGTTCGACTGGGAGGACCAGCTGCTCCAGAGGCCTATGCTAGACGAAATAGAGGTGGGTTTCAAGAAGACGGTGTTCGACTGGGATGCCCAGCTGCTCCAGAAGGCGGTACGGGACGAGGAGGCGGTGGCTTTCAAGAAGATGGTGTTCGACTGGTATTCCCAGCTGCTCCAGAGGGCGGTGCTGGACGAGGAGACGGTGGATATCAAGAAGACGGTGATCGACTGGAACGACCAGCTGCTCTAGAATGCGGTGCTGGACGAGGATGCGGTGGCTTTCAAGAAGACGGTGTTCGTATGGGAGGCCCACGTGCTCCAGAGGGCGGTGCTAGACGAAAAGGCGGTGGCTTTCAAGAAGACGGTGTTCAACTGGGAGGCCAAGCTGCTCCAGAAGTCGCTGCTGGACGAGGACACGATGGAGTTCAAGAGGACGGTGGTCTACTGAGAATCCCAGCTGCTCCACAAGGCGGTGCTCGACGAGGATGCGGTGGGTTTCAAGAAGACGGTGTTCGACTGGGATGCCCAGCTGCTCCAGAAGGCGGTACGGGACGAGGAGGCGGTGGCTTTCAAGAAGATGGTGTTCGACTGGTATTCCCAGCTGCTCCAGAGGGCGGTGCTGGACGAGGAGGCGGTGGATATCAAGAAGACGGTGATCGACTGGAACAACCAGCTGCTCTAGAATGCGGTGCTGGACGAGGATGCGGTGGCTTTCAAGAAGACGGTGTTCGTATTGGAGGCCCACCTGCTTCAGAAGGCGCCGCTGGACGAAGAGGCGATGGAGTTCAAGAGGACGGTGGTCTACTGAGAATCCCAGCTGCTCCACAAGGCGGTGCTCGACGAGGATGCGGTGGTTTTCAAGAAGACGGTGTTCGTATGGGAGGCCCAGTTGCTCCAGATGGCGAAGCTAGACGAAAAGGCGGTGGCTTTCAAGAAGGCGGTGTTCGACTGGGAGGCCCATTTGCTCCAGAAGGCGGTGCTGGACGAGTGGTGGTGGATTTCAAGAAGATGGTGTTCGACTGGGAGGCCCAGTTGCTCCAGAGGGTGGTGCTAGACGAGGGGGCGGTGGTTTTCAAGAAGACGGTGTTCGTCTGGGAGGCCCAACTGCTCCAGAGGGTAGTGCTAGACGAAAAGGCGGTGGGTTTCAAGAAGACGGTGTTCGACTGGGAGGCCCAGCTGCTCCAGAAGGCAGTGCTGGACGAGGATGGGGAGGCTTTCTAGTAGATGGCGTTCGACTGGGAGGACCAGCTGCTCCAGAAGCCTATGCTATACGAAATAGAGGTGGGTTTCAAGAAGACGGTGTTCGACTGGGAGGCCCAGCTGCTCCAGAAGGCGGTGCTGGACCAGTGGTGGTGGATTTCAAGAAGATGGTGTTCGACTGGGAGGCCCAGTTGCTCCAGAGGGTGGTGCTAGACGAGGGGGCGGTGTCTTTCAAGAAGACGGTGTTCGTCTGGGAGGCCCAACTGCTCCAGAGGGTGGTGCTATACGAAAAGGCGGTGGGTTTCAAGAAGACGGTGTTCGACTGGGAGGCCCAGCTGCTCCAGAAGGCAGTGCTGGACGAGGATGGGGAGGCTTTCTAGTAGACGGTGTTCGACTGGGAGGACCAGCTGCTCCAGAAGCCTATGCTAGACGAAATAGAGGTGGGTTTCAAGAAGACGGTGTTCGACTGGGAGGCCCAGCTGCTCCAGAAGGCGGTGCTGGACCAGTGGTGGTGGATTTCAAGAAGATGGTGTTCGACTGGGAGGCCCAGTTGCTCCAGAGGGTGGTGCTAGACGAGGGGGCGGTGGTTTTCAAGAAGACGTTGTTCGTATGGGAGGCCCAACTGCTCCAGAGGGTGGTGCTAGACAAAAAAGCGGTGGCTTTCAAGAAGACGGTGTTCGACTGGGAGGCCCAGCTGCTCCAAAAGGCGCTGCTGGACGAGGAGGCGATGGAGTTCAAGAGGACGGTGGTCTACTGAGAATCCCAGCTGCTCCACAAGGCGGTGCTCGACGAGGATGCGGTGGTTTTCAAGAAGACGGTGTTCGTATGGTAGGCCCACCTGCTCCAGAGGGCGAAGCTAGACAAAAGGCGGTGGCTTTCAAGAAGGCGGTGTTCGACTGGGAGGCCCAGCTGCTCCAGAGGCCTATGCTAGACGAAAGGGAGGTGGCTTTCAAGAAGACGGTGTTCGACTGGGAGGCACATTTGCTCCAGAAGGCGGTGCTGGACGAGTGGTGGTGGATTTCAAGAAGATGGTGTTCGACTGGGAGTCCCAGTTGCTCCAGAGGGTGGTGCTAGACGAGGGGGCGGTGGTTTTCAAGAAGACGGTGTTCATCTGGGAGGCCCACCTGCTCCAGAGGGTGGTGCTAGAAGAAAAGGCGGTGGGTTTCAAGAAGACGGTGTTCGACTGGGAGGCCCAGCTGCTCCAGAAGGCAGTGCTGGACGAGAATGGGTGGCTTTCTAGAAGACGGTGTTCGACTGGGAGGACCAGCTGCTCCAGAGGCCTATGCTAGACGAAATAGAGGTGGGTTTCAAGAAGACGGTGTTCGACTGGGATGCCCAGCTGCTCCAGAAGGCGGTACGGGACGAGGAGGCGGTGGCTTTCAAGAAGATGGTGTTCGACTGGTATTCCCAGCTGCTCCAGAGGGCGGTGCTGGACGAGGAGGCGGTGGATATCAAGAAGACGGTGATCGACTGGAACGACCAGCTGCTCTAGAATGCGGTGCTGGACGAGGATGCGGTGGCTTTCAAGAAGACGGTGTTCGTATGGGAGGCCCACGTGCTCCAGAGGGCGGTGCTAGACGAAAAGGCGGTGGCTTTCAAGAAGACGGTGTTCAACTGGGAGGCCAAGCTGCTCCAGAAGTCGCTGCTGGACGAGGACACGATGGAGTTCAAGAGGACGGTGGTCGACTGAGAATCCCAGCTGCTCCACAAGGCGGTTCTCGACGAGAATGGGTGGCTTTCTAGAAGACGGTGTTCGACTCGGAGGACCAGCTGCTCCAGAAGCCTAGGCTAGACGAAACAGAGGTGGGTTTCAAGAAGACGGTGTTCGACTGGGATGCCCAGCTGCTCCAGAAGGCGGTACTGGACGAGGAGGCGGTGGCTTTCAAAAAGATGCTTTTCGACTGGTATTCCCAGCTGCTCCAGAGGGCGGTGCTGGACGAGGAGGCGGTGGATATCAAGAAGACGGTGATCGACTGGAACGACCAGCTGCTCTAGAATGCGGTGCTGGACGAGGATGCGGTGGCTTTCAAGAAGACGGTGTTCGACTGGGAGGCCCATTTTCTCCAGAAGGCGGTGCTGGACGAGGAGGCGGTGGATTTCAAGAAGATGGTGTTTGACTGGGAGGCCCAGCTGCTCCAGAGGGTGGTGCTAGACGACAGGCGGTGGTTTTCAAGAAGACGGTGTTCGACTGGGAGGCCCAGCTGCTCCAGAAGGCGGTGCTGGACGGGGAGGCGGTCGAGTTCAAGAGGACGGTGTTCGACTGAGAATCCCAGCTGCTCCAGAAGGCGGTGCTGGACGAGGATGCGGTGGCTTTCACGAAGACGATGTTCGTATGGGAGGCCCATCTGCTCCAGAGGGCGGTTCTACCCGAAAAGGCGGTGGCTTTCAAGAAGACGGTGTTCGACTGGCAGGCCCAGCTGCTCCAGAGGCCTATGCTAGACGAAAGGGTGGTGGCTTTCAAGAAGACGGTGTTCGACTGTGAGGCCCATTTGCTCCAGAAGGCGGTGCTGGACGAGGAGGTGGTGGATTACAAGAAGATGGTGTTCGACTGGGAGGCCCAGCTGCTCCAGAGGGTGGTGCTAGACGACAGGCGGTGGTTTTCAAGAAGACGGTGTTCGACTGGGAGCCCCAGCTGCTCCAGAAGGCAGTGCTGGACGAGGAGGTAGTGGAGTTCAAGAGGACGTGAGAATCCCAGCTGCTCCAGAAGGTGGTGCTGGACGAGGATGCGGTGGCTTTCAAGAAGACGGTGTTCGACTGGGAGGCCCAGCTGCTCCAGAAGGCGCTGCTGGATGAGGAGGCGATGGAGTTCAAGAGGACGGTGTTCGACTGATAATCCCAGCTGCTCCACAAGGCGGTGCTCGACGAGGATGCGGTGGCTTTCAAGAAGACGATGTTTGTATGGGAGGCCCATCTGCTCCAGAAGGCGGTGCTGGACGAGGGGGTGGTGGATTTCAAGAAGATGGTGTTCGACTGGGAGGCCCAGCTGCTCCAGAGGGTGCTGCTAGACGACAGGCGGTGGTTTTCAAGAAGACGGTGTTCGACTGGGAGGCCCAGCTGCTCCAGAAGGCAGTGCTGGACGAGGAGGCGGTGGAGTTCAAGAGGACGGTGTTCGACTGAGAATCCCAGCTGCTCCAGAGGGCGGTGCTGGACGAGGATGCGGTGGCTTTCAAGAAGGCGGTGTTCGACTGGGAGGCCCAGCTGCTCCAGAAGGCACTGCTGGACGAGGAGGCGATGGAGTTCATAAGGACGGTGTTCGACTGATAATCCCAGCTGCTCCACAAGGCGGTGCTCGAAGAGGATGCGGTGGCTTTCAAGAAGACGATGTTCGTATGGGAGGCCCATCTGCTCCAGAGGGCGGTGCTAGACGAAAAGGCGGTGTCTTTCAAGAAGACGGTTTTCGACTGGGAGGCCCAGCTGCTCCAGAGGCCTATGCTAGACGAAAGGGTGGTGGCTTTCAAGAAGACGGTGCTCGACTGGGAGGCCCATTTGCTCCAGAAGGCGGTGCTGGACGAGGAGGTGGTGGATTTCATAAAGATGGTGTTTGACTGGGAGGCCCAGCTGCTCCAGAGGGTGGTGCTAGACGACAGGCGGTGGTGTTCAAGAAGACGGTGTTCGACTGGGAGGCCCAGCTGATCCAGAAGGCGGTGCTGGACGAGGAGGCGGTGGAGTTCAGGAGGACGGCGTTCGACTGAGAATCCCAGCTGCTCCAGAAGGCGGTGCTGGACGAGGATGCGGTGGCTTTCAAGAAGACGATGTTCATATGGGAGGCCCATCTGCTCCAGATGGCGGTGCTAGACGAAAAGGCGGTGGCTTTCAAGAAGACGGTGTTCGACTGGGAGGCCCAGCTGCTCCAGAGGCCTATGCTAGACGAAAGGGTGGTGGCTTTCAAGAAGATGGTGTTCGACTGGGAGGCCCATTTGCTCCAGAAGGCGGTGCTGGACGAGGAGGTGATTGATTTCAAGAAGATGGTGTTCGACTGGGAGGCCCAGCTGCTCCAGAGGGTGGTGCTAGACGACAGGCGGTGGTTTTCAAGAAGACGGTGTTCGACTGGGAGGCCCAGCTGCTCCAGAAGGCGGTGCTGGACGAGGAAGCGGTGGAGTTCAAGAGGACGGTGTTCGACTGAGAATCCCAGCTGCTCCAGAAGGCGGTGCTGGACGAGAATGCGCTGGCTTTCAAGAAGTCGGTGTTCGATTGGGAGGCCCGCCTGCTCCAGAGGGTGGTGCTAGACGAAAACAGGGTAGGTTTCAAGAAGACGGTGTTCAACTGGGAGGTCCAGCTGCTCCAGAAGGCAGTGCGGAACGAGAATGGGGTGGCTTTCTAGAAGTCGGTGTTCGATTGGGAGGCCAATCTGCTCCAGAGGGCGGTGCTAGACGAAAAGCCGGTGGCTTTCAAGAAGTCGGTGTTCGACTGGGAGGCCCAGCTGCTCCAGAGGCCTATGCTAGACGAGAGGGTGGTGGCTTTCAAGAAGACGGTGTACGACTGGGAGGCCCAGCTGCTCCAGAGGGTGGTGCTAGACGACAGGCGGTGGTTTTCAAGAAGACGGTGTTCGACTGGGAGGCCCAGCTGCTCCAGAAGGCAGTGCTGGACGAGGAGGCGGTGGAGTTCAAGAGGACGGTGTTCGACTGAGAATCCCAGCTGCTCCAGAAGGCGGTGCTGGACGAGGATGCGGAGGCTTTCAAGAAGTCGGTGTTCGATTGGGAGGCCCACCTGCTCCAGAGGGTGGTGCTAGACGAAAACGCGGTGGGTTTCAAGAAGACGGTGTTCAACTGGGAGGCCCAGCTGCTCCAGAAGGCAGTGCGGAACGAGGATGGGGTGGCTTTCTAGAAGACGGTGTTCGACTGGGAGGACCAGCTGCTCCAGAGGCCTATGCTAGACGAAATAGAGGTAGGTTTCAAGAAGACGGTGTTCGACTGGGATGCCCAGCTGCTCCAGAAGGCGGTGCTGGACGAGGATGGGGTGGCTTTCTAGAAGACGGTGTTCGACTGGGAGGACCAGCTGCTCCAGAGGCCTATGCTAGACGAAATAGAGGTGGGTTTCAAGAAGACGGTGTTCGACTGGGATGCCCAGCTGCTCCAGAAGGCGGTGCTGGACGAGGATGGGGTGGCTTTCTAGAAGACGGTGTTCGACTGGGAGGACCAGCTGCTCCAGAGGCCTATGCTAGACGAAATAGAGGTGGGTTTCAAGAAGACGGTGTTCGACTGGGATGCCCAGCTGCTCCAGAAGGCGGTGCTGGACGAGGAGGTGGTGGATTTCAAGAAGATGGTGTTCGACTGGGAGGCCCAGCTGCTCCAGAGGGTGGTGCTAGACGACAGGCGGTGGTTTTCAAGAAGACGGTGTTCGACTGGGAGGCCCAGCTGCTCCAGAAGGCAGTGCTGGACGAGGAGGCGGTGGAGTTCAAGAGGACGGTGTTCGACTGAGAATCCCAGCTGCTCCAGAAGGCGGTGCTGGACGAGGATGCGGAGGCTTTCAAGAAGTCGGTGTTCGAATGGGAGGCCCACCTGCTCCAGAGGGTGGTGCTAGACGAAAACGCGGTGGGTTTCAAGAAGACGGTGTTCAACTGGGAGGCCCAGCTGCTCCAGAAGGCAGTGCGGAACGAGGATGGGGTGGCTTTCTAGAAGACGGTGTTCGACTGGGAGGACCAGCTGCTCCAGAGGCCTATGCTAGACGAAATAGAGGTGGGTTTCAAGAAGACGGTGTTCGACTGGGATGGCCAGCTGCTCCAGAAGGCGGTGCTGGACGAGGAGGCGGTGGCTTTCAAGAAGATGGTGTTCGACTGGGAGGCCCAGCTGCTCCAGAGGGCGGTGCTGGACGAGGAGGCGGTGGATATCAAGAGGACGGTGTTCGACTGAGAATCCCAGCTGCTCCAGAAGGCGGTGCTGGACGAGGATGCGGAGGCTTTCAAGAAGTCGGTGTTCGAATGGGAGGCCCACCTGCTCCAGAGGGTGGTGCTAGACGAAAACGCGGTGGGTTTCAAGAAGACGGTGTTCAACTGGGAGGCCCAGCTGCTCCAGAAGGCAGTGCGGAACGAGGATGGGGTGGCTTTCTAGAAGACGGTGTTCGACTGGGAGGACCAGCTGCTCCAGAGGCCTATGCTAGACGAAATAGAGGTGGGTTTCAAGAAGACGGTGTTCGACTGGGATGCCCAGCTGCTCCAGAAGGCAGTGCTGGACGAGGAGGCGGTGGAGTTCAAGAGGACGGTGTTCGACTGAGAATCCCAGCTGCTCCAGAAGGCGGTGCTGGACGAGGATGCGGAGGCTTTCAAGAAGTCGGTGTTCGAATGGGAGGCCCACCTGCTCCAGAGGGTGGTGCTAGACGAAAACGCGGTGGGTTTCAAGAAGACGGTGTTCAACTGGGAGGCCCAGCTGCTCCAGAAGGCAGTGCGGAACGAGGATGGGGTGGCTTTCTAGAAGACGGTGTTCGACTGGGAGGACCAGCTGCTCCAGAGGCCTATGCTAGACGAAATAGAGGTGGGTTTCAAGAAGACGGTGTTCGACTGGGATGCCCAGCTGCTCCAGAAGGCGGTGCTGGACGAGGAGGCGGTGGCTTTCAAGAAGTCGGTGTTCGATTGGGAGGCCCGCCTGCTCCAGAGGGTGGTGCTAGACGAAAACAGGGTAGGTTTCAAGAAGACGGTGTTCAACTGGGAGGTCCAGCTGCTCCAGAAGGCAGTGCGGAACGAGAATGGGGTGGCTTTCTAGAAGTCGGTGTTCGATTGGGAGGCCAATCTGCTCCAGAGGGCGGTGCTAGACGAAAAGCCGGTGGCTTTCAAGAAGTCGGTGTTCGACTGGGAGGTCCAGCTGCTCCAGAGCCCTATGCTAGACGAAAGGGTGGTGGCTTTCAAGAAGACGGTGTACGACTGGGAGGCCCAGCTGCTCCAGAGGGTGGTGCTAGACGACAGGCGGTGGTTTTCAAGAAGACGGTGTTCGACTGGGAGGCCCAGCTGCTCCAGAACGCAGTGCTGGACGAGGAGGCGGTGGAGTTCAAGAGGACGGTGTTCGACTGGGATGCCCAGCTGCTCCAGAGGGTGGTGCTAGACGACAGGCGGTGGTTTTCAAGAAGACGGTGTTCGACTGGGAGGCCCAGCTGCTCCAGAAGGCAGTGCTGGACGAGGAGGCGGTGGAGTTCAAGAGGACGGTGTTCGACTGAGAATCCCAGCTGCTCCAGAAGGCGGTGCTGGACGAGGATGCGGAGGCTTTCAAGAAGTCGGTGTTCGAATGGGAGGCCCACCTGCTCCAGAGGGTGGTGCTAGACGAAAACGCGGTGGGTTTCAAGAAGACGGTGTTCAACTGGGAGGCCCAGCTGCTCCAGAAGGCAGTGCGGAACGAGGATGGGGTGGCTTTCTAGAAGACGGTGTTCGACTGGGAGGACCAGCTGCTCCAGAGGCCTATGCTAGACGAAATAGAGGTGGGTTTCAAGAAGACGGTGTTCGACTGGGATGCCCAGCTGCTCCAGAAGGCGGTGCTGGACGAGGAGGCGGTGGCTTTCAAGAAGTCGGTGTTCGATTGGGAGGCCCGCCTGCTCCAGAGGGTGGTGCTAGACGAAAACAGGGTAGGTTTCAAGAAGACGGTGTTCAACTGGGAGGTCCAGCTGCTCCAGAAGGCAGTGCGGAACGAGAATGGGGTGGCTTTCTAGAAGTCGGTGTTCGATTGGGAGGCCAATCTGCTCCAGAGGGCGGTGCTAGACGAAAAGCCGGTGGCTTTCAAGAAGTCGGTGTTCGACTGGGAGGCCCAGCTGCTCCAGAGGCCTATGCTAGACGAAAGGGTGGTGGCTTTCAAGAAGACGGTGTACGACTGGGAGGCCCAGCTGCTCCAGAGGGTGGTGCTAGACGACAGGCGGTGGTTTTCAAGAAGACGGTGTTCGACTGGGAGGCCCAGCTGCTCCAGAAGGCAGTGCTGGACGAGGAGGCGGTGGAGTTCAAGAGGACGGTGTTCGACAGAGAATCCCAGCTGCTCCAGAAGGTGGTGCTGGACGAGGATGCGGAGGCTTTCAAGAAGTCGGTGTTCGATTGGGAGGCCCACCTGCTCCAGAGGGTGGTGCTAGACGAAAACGCGGTGGGTTTCAAGAAGACGGTGTTCAACTGGGAGGCCCAGCTGCTCCAGAAGGCAGTGCGGAACGAGGATGGGGTGGCTTTCTAGAAGACAGTGTTCGACTGGGAGGACCAGCTGCTCCAGAGGCCTATGCTAGACGAAATAGAGGTGGGTTTCAAGAAGACGGTGTTCGACTGGGATGCCCAGCTGCTCCAGAAGGCGGTGCTGGACGAGGATGGGGTGGCTTTCTAGAAGACGGTGTTCGACTGGGAGGACCAGCTGCTCCAGAGGCCTATGCTAGACGAAATAGAGGTGGGTTTCAAGAAGACGGTGTTCGACTGGGATGCCCAGCTGCTCCAGAAGGCGGTGCTGGACGAGGAGGTGGTGGATTTCAAGAAGATGGTGTTCAACTGGGAGGCCCAGCTGCTCCAGAGGGTGGTGCTAGACGACAGGCGGTGGTTTTTAAGAAGACGATGTTCGACTGGGAGGCCCAGCTGCTCCAGAAGGCAGTGCTGGACGAGGAGGCGGTGGAGTTCAAGAGGACGGTGTTCGACTGAGAATCCCAGCTGCTCCAGAAGGCGGTGCTGGACGAGGATGCGGAGGCTTTCAAGAAGTCGGTGTTCGAATGGGAGGCCCACCTGCTCCAGAGGGTGGTGCTAGACGAAAACGCGGTGGGTTTCAAGAAGACGGTGTTCAACTGGGAGGCCCAGCTGCTCCAGAAGGCAGTGCGGAACGAGGATGGGGTGGCTTTCTAGAAGACGGTGTTCGACTGGGAGGACCAGCTGCTCCAGAGGCCTATGCTAGACGAAATAGAGGTGGGTTTCAAGAAGACGGTGTTCGACTGGGATGCCCAGCTGCTCCAGAAGGCGGTGCTGGACGAGGAGGCGGTGGCTTTCAAGAAGATGGTGTTCGACTGGGAGGCCCAGCTGCTCCAGAGGGCGGTGCTGGACGAGGGGGCGGTGGATATCAAGAAGACGGTGTTCGACTGGGAGGCCCAGCTGCTCGAGCGGGCGGAGCTAGACGAAAAAGCGGTTGTTTTCAAGAAGACGTTATTAGACTGGGAGGCCGAGTTGCTCAATTAGGAGGTGCTGGACGCGGAGGCGTTGGCTTTCAAGAAGACAATGTTCGACTGGGAGGCCCAGCTGCTCCAGAGAACGGTGCTGGACGAGGATGCGGTGGCTTTCAAGAAGGCGGTGTTCGACTGGGAGGCCCAGCTGCTCCAGAAGGCGCTGCTGGACGAGGAGGCGATGGAGTTCAAGAGGACGGTGTTCGACTGATAATCCCAGCTGCTCCACAAGGCGGTGCTCGACGAGGATGCGGTGGTTTTCAAGAAGACGGTGTTCGACTGGGAGGCCCAGCTGCTCCAGAAGGCGGTGCTGGACGAGGAGGCGGTGGAGTCCAAGATGACGATGTTCGACTGAGAATCCCAGCTGCTCCAGAAGGCGGTGCTGGACGAGGATGCGGTGGCTTTCAAGAAGACGTTGTTCGTATGGGAGGCCCAGCTGCTCCAGAGGCCTATGCTAGACGAAAGGGTGGTGGCTTTCAAGAAGACGGTGTACGACTGGGAGGCCCATTTGCTCCAGAAGGCGGTGCTGGACGAGGAGGTGATGGATTTCAAGAAGATGGTGTTCGACTGGGAGGCCCAGCTGCTCCAGAGGGTGGTGCTAGACGACAGGCGGTGGTTTTCAAGAAGACTGTGTTCGACTGGGATGCCCAGCTGCTCCAGAAGGCGGTGCTGGACGAGGAAGCGGTGGAGTTCAAGAGGACGATGTTCGACTGAGAATCCCAGCTGCTCCAGAAGGCGGTGCTGGACGAGAATGCGGTGGCTTTCAAGAAGTCGGTGTTCGATTGGGAGGCCCACCTGCTCCAGAGGGTGGTGCTAGACGAAAACAGGGTGGGTTTCAAGAAGACGGTGTTCAACTGGGAGGTCCAGCTGCTCCAGAAGGCAGTGCGGAACGAGAATGGGGTGGCTTTCTAGAAGTCGGTGTTCGATTGGGAGGCCAATCTGCTCCAGAGGGCGGTGCTAGACGAAAAGCCGGTGGCTTTCAAGAAGTCGGTGTTCGACTGGGAGGCCCAGCTGCTCCAGAGGCCTATGCTAGACGAAAGGGTGGTGGCTTTCAAGAATACGGTGTACGACTGGGAGGCCCAGCTGCTCCAGAGGGTGGTGCTAGACGACAGGCGGTGGTTTTCAAGAAGACGGTGTTCGACTGGGAGGCCCACCTGCTCCAGAGGGTGGTGCTAGACGAAAACAGGCTGCTCCAGAAGCTCCGGAAGGCGGTGCTGGACGAGGAAGCGGTGGAGTTCATGAGGACGGTGTTCGACTGAGAATCCCAGCTGCTCCAGAAGGCGGTGCTGGACGAGAATGCGGTGGCTTTCAAGAATTCGGTGTTCGATTGGGAGGCCCACCTGCTCCAGAGGGTGGTGCTAGACGAAAACAGGGTGGGTTTCAAGAAGACGGTGTTCAACTGGGAGGTCCAGCTGCTCCAGAAGGCAGTGCGGAACGAGAATGGGGTGGCTTTCTAGAAGTCGGTGCTCGATTGGGAGGCCAATCTGCTCCAGAGGGCGGTGCTAGACGAAAAGCCGGTGGCTTTCAAGAAGTCGGTGTTCGACTGGGAGGCCCAGCTGCTCCAGAGGCCTATGCTAGACGAAAGGGTGGTGGCTTTCAAGAAGACGGTGTACGACTGGGAGGCCCAGCTGCTCCAGAGGGTGGTGCTAGACGACAGGCGGTGGTTTTCAAGAAGACGGTGTTCGACTGGGAGGCCCAGCTGCTCCAGAAGGCAGTGCTGGACGAGGAGGCGGTGGAGTTCAAGAGGACGGTGTTCGACTGAGAATCCCAGCTGCTCCAGAAGGCGGTGCTGGACGAGGATGCGGAGGCTTTCAAGAAGTCGGTGTTCGATTGGGAGGCCCACCTGCTCCAGAGGGTGGTGCTAGACGAAAACGCGGTGGGTTTCAAGAAGACGGTGTTCAACTGGGAGGCCCAGCTGCTCCAGAAGGCAGTGCGGAACGAGGATGGGGTGGCTTTCTAGAAGACGGTGTTCGACTGGGAGGACCAGCTGCTCCAGAGGCCTATGCTAGACGAAATAGAGGTGGGTTTCAAGAAGACGGTGTTCGACTGGGATGCTCAGCTGCTCCAGAAGGCGGTGCTGGACGAGGAGGTGGTGGATTTCAAGAAGATGGTGTTCGACTGGGAGGCCCAGCTGCTCAAGAGGGTGGTGCTAGACGACAGGCGGTGGTTTTCAAGAAGACGGTGTTCGACTGGGAGGCCCAGCTGCTCCAGAAGGCAGTGCTGGACGAGGAGGCGGTGGAGTTCAAGAGGACGGTGTTCGACTGAGAATCCCAGCTGCTCCAGAAGGCGGTACTGGACGAGGATGCGGAGGCTTTCAAGAAGTCGGTGTTCGATTGGGAGGCCCACCTGCTCCAGAGGGTGGTGCTAGACGAAAACGCGGTGGGTTTCAAGAAGACGGTGTTCAACTGGGAGGCCCAGCTGCTCCAGAAGGCAGTGCGGAACGAGGATGGGGTGGCTTTCTAGAAGACGGTGTTCGACTGGGAGGACCAGCTGCTCCAGAGGCCTATGCTAGACGAAATAGAGGTGGGTTTCAAGAAGACGGTGTTCGACTGGGATGCCCAGCTGCTCCAGAAGGCGGTGCTGGACGAGGAGGCGGTGGCTTTCAAGAAGATGGTGTTCGACTGGGAGGCCCAGCTGCTCCAGAGGGCGGTGCTGGACGAGGAGGCGGTGGATATCAAGAAGACGGTGATCGACTGGAACGACCAGCTGCTCTAGAATGCGGTGCTGGACGAAGATGCGGTGGCTTTCAAGAAGACGGTGTTCGTATGGGAGGCCCACCTGCTCCAGAGGGCGTTGCTAGACGAAAAGGCGGTGGCTTTCAAGAAGGCCGTGTTCGACTGGGAGGCCCAGCTGCTCCAGAAGGCGCTGCTGGACGAGGAGGTGATGGAGTTTAAGAGGACGGTGGTCGACTGAGAATCCCAGCTGCTCCACAAGGCGGTGCTCGACGAGGATGCGGTGGCTTTCAAGAAGACGGTGTTCGTATGGGAGGCCCATCTGCTCCAGAGGGCGGTGCTAGACGAAAAGGCAGTGGCTTTCAAGAAGACGGCGTTCGACTGGGAGGCCCAGCTGCTCCAGAGGCCTATGCTAGACGAAAGGAAGGTGGCTTTCAAGAAGACGGTGTTCGACTGGGAGGCCCATTTGCTCCAGAAGGCGGTGCTGGACGAGGAGGTGGTAGCTTTCAAGAAGACGGTGTTCTTGTTATTGTATAACAAGTTTACCGCAACATTTTTCATTTTAACATCATAAAGCCAATATAAAACAACATCATGAATAAATTTACTTGACCAGATCAGTTCTTATAAGTTCAGTGGTTTTGTATGAATTCCATCATCTTGTACTTGTCTTTTTGGATAAAAATAGCTTAGTCCTTTCTTTGTCTGTTCATATGTGGCCACCATATCATTTATAATTCTGAATCCTCTATTAGTAGATGTAAGATTAATTGCTTCATCAAGCACTCTCCTATATTTGCTAAAGGTCCATCTCCAGAGTCTTCTAGAACCCGCTTATTCAATCGTTGCTGCTAAATTTGAATTTGTCTGACTTGTTGTCATAGCAGCAATATGTCTTACTACATAAACAGAGCATTTCGGTGCACCTAAATTCTTCTTTGAAAAATCCCGGCTCCCGCTTATCATGTTTTGTATGGATACTACAACAGGTTCGAGGAAAGAAATTAGATTTTGCATCCGCCTTGAAGGAATCTCTGCAATCACTCTCCCTCTTTTTTACCCAAGCAGCTCTCTTATCTGGTTGGATGCAATCGTACAAATTTTCTTCTGCAAGTGTCAAGTAAAGTGAGTCTGTGTCCATCTCCAACTCTTCAAATTTATTTACACCACAGAACTTGTCAAAGAAGTTGTAGTAGAGTTCCAACATTCTCAGCTTTGCATACTGAAGTATGAAAAAACCAACGATGATGGGTTCTCTATGTTCAATGGTTGATTTCAACAACTCCACTTCATACAAGTTTTTTTCAACTGTATTCAATCTTTTGAACAATGGTTCATTGATTGCCTTGTGAGTTTTTTCATCGTTGAGA